GGCGGAAGAAAATGGATGGATGGATGGATGGATATTATGTATTTATGTAAGTAACTCTATCAGCTCTGCTGCACGTCTATGTAAGACCAACAAATTTGCAGCCTCAGCTTTACATATGTGGTGGAAAAAAACCTAGGAGGAACCGATGTCATCATCACCCCCCCACACGCACACACATGCACCCCCTCCCCCAAAATACCCACAAACTGGGCCCCCACACCCTTTAACTGTGCCTCAGTTGAGATCCAGCAAGTATGAGTTGGCCAGATCGCGGGGCGCTGGACAGCTCCCACTGAGCCACTCAGGTATGGTCTCGCCGTGAGATAAAAACCCTGAAATGGCTGAGGCAAAAGCTGAGCAGCGACGAAAGATGTGACGATATGAAATGTTTGGGGAGACATGACAGGTGTACAAAACGCATGCAACACGACGCAACTAGGAGTGGAGGTCCACCCACTTCTCCAGAGTTTGTTTTAGAATGTTTTTCAACAACATGGGGGGAAACAAGGTTAGATCTGAAATACCCCACAATGTGCATTTAAACGAAAGGTCCGCAATTTGAGACTGCATACGCGGAGGTGTTTCTGCAGACTCACGGTCATCGTATTTAGCTTTAGATTTAAAAAATATGCAAACAGTACTTCCTTATCAACACGTTTAACCATGGTTTTTCCCTGAGGACTTTTTTATAAGTGACTGGGCTCATTAAAATGCAGGGGACCAGCTAACCTAAAATAACACAAACCTCCCTTATGGCCATACTTATTGGCACGCATTATGCAAAAGTCAACCAAACCCAAACAATAACTAATCAGATGTTTGTATTTCTCTAAATACTAAGATCAATTTTCCAAGCTCAGTAAGATAGACAGTCTAAACAGGTGAAGACCATAATAACCTATTGAAAACACAAAAAGATAAGGTTTCAAAAACCAAACTGTGTAGACACGCCTCACATAGGCAAAACATTAATTATGCAAAAACAACCACAGGTCAAACAACACCTGATAAAAACATAATCCAAGAAAAAAATAAAATTATCAGGTTCACCCTTAAAGCCAAAAATTAGTCACAAGAGGAAAAGATAGACAGACAACCAGAGTTAGCACTTTGTGCAGTGAATAATAGTAATCAAAAACAAACTAATGTAGCCTTTGTCAAATAATGTGAATAAACCAATCAATCCAAAATAAAGAAAAATAAAAATAAATATAAAAAATAAATATAAACAGCCAAGAACTCAGGGCCCCGGTCCTAAACATAAATTAAACAGAAAAACTCAAAATTCTAAATTAAAGGCTTTTCCACATGTGAGGCCTAAAATGACAGAAAAACATTGCCACAGAGAACAAAAGGCTTTTTGCCCCAAACAGACAATAAAAATTAAAGAATTTGATGTGGCTCAAAACTGCAGACAAATTCTCCTCTTTTCCCTTTTCTTTTTTTTCAAGAATGTTTGAGCGTGTGTCAGTGTTTTACTCATCTTTTTATGGGAGGGCGGTGCAATTTTGGACTGTCTGTCCCTCGGCCCGTCTGCACCCCCCACCCTTTGAAACCCGGCACGTAGTGGTCATAGCACAGTCAGCTGCACCACACACTTCACACCGATCCAGGTTCCCCGGCCCCACCTCCTCATCAAAGTTGGTGGACGGGCCAGGTTGGGGGAGCGGCAGATGCAGGCCGAAGAGAAGAGTCCAAACCCACATAGAAATAAAAACACAGAAACAAAAAGGATTATAGAAAAAGCTTCTACACTTGTTATCAAACATTCTTTAAAAATAATGCCAGATATTTTGTTCAACATTTACTTGTCAAAGTTCATATTTCAGATCAGCTATTGTCTTGTTTCTTTCTTTCGTATCTTTTACTATTC